GTGCCTGTTTCTGAGTAGTCTTTCTGCGTCCTACTCTTTATTTGCGCACAACACTTTACCTTGCCGCCTATAGCTTGCAGAAGATTCAATCACGGTGCGCATTGAAGTCACTTTTGTCGGTCGACAAGTTCTATATTCGTCAACATTTGATTCTTATTATTATTCATTAAATTTCTGTTCAAGTAGGTGTCATTAAAGTTTAATTGATATTCATAAATGTTTCGTTCTTTATTGAAGTTATTGTCCCACCGCAAGGGTGTCCCTATGAATGCGACTGCAAAAAAAAAAAATATCTGAATGTTATAAGAAGTAAGGCTAGCAGCTAACTCTTTCATCATCGAACAAGGCGCAAATAAATAAAATGTCTGCATTCGAAAAGACCGCGGCTACTGGCGCTTCAGCGAAGTCAGCTTCGTGCTGTCAGTCTCCTGATCGTAAACCATATAGTCAGACTTGCTCGCACAAAATTATAAGTGACGTATACTGATCCAAGCACGCGTGTATCTACATCCCAGCCTGCTATTTAAAAACCTCGATTGCTCGAACAAGTGCTGAAAACGTAAGAAGGGTTGATGAAACAGGCTGGTGGGCTACTTGTGATTGGAGGTCCAAAGTTCTAGCGTAAGGAAACACGAGGGCGCAAAGGAGACACCAGAGCAGCGCTTCTCTGACTTCTAAATCTCAGTTTCATTTCTTCCACGCTCTACTGTTTCAGTAGCTTCTCACGCTGTTTAGCTGGTCCATGCCCTCCTTTCGCTATTGAAGCAGAGTGACCACTATTTGAAGTCCAGTGATAGGACTGTCAGGCTAGACTTGCCGGTACTCACGTAGGAGTAGCTAGGTGGCGCGGGGCAGCCACAGTGCCTGCAATGGACTGTAATAAAGTTGTACTCACTCACTCACTCACTCATTCACTCACTACTCGCGTCTTCTTTGCGGCCTCGCGTTTCCTTGAGTCAAGGAATACGTTAGAAAGAACCGTCACGTTATCCCGATAGCATCGACAAGTCAATATACTCTTGCGTCACCCTTCCCGAGCAGTGCGCAATGCTTCCTGGGTAAGAGTGGGCCCCCGCAGCACTCGCACCAGCCATAACAAAAGCAAGCTGACCTATAGTAGCGCGTGCTTATCAAGTGACCAAAGCCTATTTGTACTTTATATTGTTGTGTGTTCCTCACAATTGGATCGTGACGCTCCCTCCAAGCTTGTTTGCTTTTCCTTCCTGCGTGGAGCGTAGTCTGCCGCAGCCACACAGCCGACCCTCTGATAATAATGACGGCTATGGCTATGAAGTTTAACATCATCCAGAAAGCATGCCTGCCTGATTGCATTCATTAGACTTCACATTAATTAAAACCTGCAGATAATGAGGGTAATGAAGAAATGTATGGGGCGCGTTAATTGTGCTATCTTACGTGTGTTGTAGTAATTTTCATCTAGATTGGACGAATGTAAAGTGGACGAAAAGACAACTTGCCAGCGGCTGGGACTGAACCCGCAACCTCGGCATAACGCACCCGATGCTTCACCGATTGAGCCCTTTTATGGGGTGCTTATATACATGCGAACCCTACGAGTGTTAGACAGCGCCGCTCGCAGCCATGACGGTAAGAGAAAGACTATTTTTTGGTCATCTGGCGTCATCACGTGATCCTTTACGAGGAGACTGCTGAAAAATAAGCCATCGCATGCTACCAAGGTATCAAGCCTCAGAGAACGAGAGCATCGATATCAATGAGTGAGAGAAGGGAATTACACTCTTCTTTATTATTAATTCGCCTCTTTCCCTTATATATAGGAAATACTACAATAATTTTGTACTGAAAACAATTCGATTAACGTCCCATATGCCTTCGTTTTCTTCATTGTTTTCAACTTTTAATCATGCTGTATCAAAAAAAAAGACAAAAAAGTCGTGAACCCTCGAGATTCCGTTTTCTTACACTTGGATTTATGGAAACATTCAGAGTCGTAAATGCTTGCGGAGAACCTCGAAATGCATATCGACAGGTGTGAACTTTAGCAAGTATATTTGTCTATACATAAAGCAAATTGAGAGTCTTCGGTTAGGGTACCTACCATTTTCAACTTTCCCGGGCTGAATGCGCCAGCTACGGCTTTTCTGGTACTTCTCCATTTGCAGCCTTCGACGTGTATGATGGAATCACACATAATCGGATGCAGCTTTTCTATCATCATTGTCTCCTGGCAGGGAAAAGTAAAGGAGAGAATCATCAGGTGTAGTCTATGACTGAGTACCTGCACCACTGAGTATAAGTAGAGTAGATGCTCGTAGCTTGTGGACAAACCTATAGGGTTTCGTAAAATTATGGGAAGCTCTATGGCCAAACCTGCACCGGGTAATGGACCAAGAACAGGGTAGCTTTCATATATAAAGTATCAGTTAATAATGAAAACAGGAAGTTAATAGAAATGTGTCAAACTTTTGCAACTAATCAGATGAAATGAATAGCAGCACACACAATGAAACGAAGGGGCTGTTTGTCCTCTTCATCATCATTTTCTTCGCCCCCAGAACACTTGCGGCGATTTGTCCAGTGTAGGATGAAGTTACTCTGATAGGGAGAGAACAAGTCCAGAGGGGCCTTCTCAGAATTAGCGAGTTTGTAGTCAAGTTCAGGCGTCAATCAGTTAGATTGACAGACGCCCGTGGTCGAGATCGTGTCCGCGCAGCATTTTTCTGCTATTTGAGAAGCAATGCTCATGCCGCAACGCCAGCGAGGAGCATTTCACCTATCAGCTTTATCGCACAGACTATGTACACAAGTACGCAGAAATAAAATTTATATCATCACGTGGCTAATACACATCGCATTCAATTTTACCGCGCTTACGACGTATTCACTCACAGCCGCGTTGTCACCTCGGTGCGAGCGCCTCTAGTGGCATCCTATCCTTACATTTACCTGTAACATTGGACAGAAGCGAAACCAGCAGCACGATAGTGCTGCGTGTGCAACCTTGCTGCCTTCGAGAGTGGAAATCTTCATGCCGCAGGTGGAACGAAAGAACCTGCCCCAAAAAGGACAAACGCCCACGAGCCCGCCTGTAGGAGGCACGTGTTCAATTGGCAAAAATATAGCGCGAAAATCAAACTGACGTTCCCGCACAGCTGAAACGTTGGCGGAGTAGCGGAGCTGATGGGTACGCACGGGGAGTTTCTTTGATAACCACCGCAAATGCCCAACATGTATTTCTGACGCCACGCGCGTTTTTATAGCCATTTTTATCATACGCTGTTATCACGCGCACCACACTGTCTTGATGCCATGGCTGCCGCAGAGCGAGCTCGCCGCAAACTCGTCTGCCCGAGAAGCTCGGGCCATCCTGCATAG